TCCTAGGATTGTGGAAGAGTATAATCCCTTAAATATGGGGATTAAAATAATTAGTCCCTTAATTATAGGGATTGATTTAGGAAGATTTTTTTCCATTTATTGCAGCAGCTTACTGTATAAATAGGCCGGTTGGCAATGGAATGAATATATCAGTTTTTTACCATTTCAAAACATGGTATCAGAGCTCTAGGTTTGCCAACCTTGAGATTTTTTTTCGGCCTTCATTGCCAAGCCTTTAGAGCTGATCTATGATCAGCAGTGTTTCTTTTCTTCCTTCTTTATTCTCCTTTCACTGCTACCCTTATTCTTCCTCCATTGACAATGTCCGACGTGACTGCAACAAGTGCTCCCACATCCAGCAAGGAATGGGGCAATCGAGGAGTTTCGAAAACAGCTCAACAGGCCCATAATGTCTCCACAATCCCGCAGCAAGAACACTCAAGTCAGGGRCCATTTAATGATGAAGAAATTGAAAGACTAAGGGGTTTCCTGGCATCCTTGAAACCAGGAAGTGGTTCTACCTCTCTTATTCTCAAGTGAGTCTTTATCTCTAGGATTACATGTCTCATCTAGTGTTTTTCCATGGATTCTTGATTTTGGAGCTATTGACCACATGACACCCTCTTCACTACATTTTCTCACCTATACACCCTGTCCTAGTAGTAGGAAAATTTCTGTTGTTGATGGTTCTTTCACCACAATGGCAGGAATTGGGAATATTCAGATTACTCCATCCCTATTACTTAAAAATGTGCTTCATGTTCCTAAGTTATCCACTAGCCTTATCTCTATACATAAACTCACCCAGGATGTGAACTGCAATGTTGTGTTCTTCCCTTCTTACTGTGTATTTCAAGACCAAGTTTCGGGGAAGAAGATTGGACTTGCTAAGGAAAGGGATGGAATCTACTACCTTGAAGCAACCAGCAAACCATTTCACACTGTTATGCATGTCACACACGAGTCATTCTTATCTACCTCCAATAAAGATTTAATTTGGTGTCATCACTTTCGTTTCGGTCATCCTTCATTTCTTGTTTTAAAAACAATGTTTCCTTCCTTGTTTAAAGGAATTGATGTTGAAACCTTTCATTGTGATGTTTGTGAATTTGCTAAACACAAAAGGGTTTTTTTCCCAATCAGCAATAAAAGATCTTCAATCCCTTTTTATTTGATCCATTCGGATATATGGGGCCCTTCTCAAATTCCCAATGTTACTGGTTCTAGATGGTTCGTCACCTTTATTGACGATTGCACTAGGGTCACATGGTATTTTCTTCTTAAGTCTAAATCTGATGTGGGTACCATTCTTCCCAACTTTCATAACATGGTCCAAATTCATTTTGGTGTGAAAATCAAAAGGTTTCGATCTGATAATGCTACAGATTATTTTAATCAGAATTTGTCCCCATTTTTTCAGAAAGAAGGCATTGTGCATGAATCCTCCTGTTTTAACACTCCCCAACAGAATGGGGTAGCTGAGAAGAAAAATGGCCATCTATTGCAAACCACCCGAGCCCTTCTCTTTCAAAACTAGGTCCCAAAACAATATTGGGGGAAGTTGTCCTTACCGCTGCATACACCATAAATAGACTACCATCTAAAATTCTTGACAATCGAAGCCCAATACAAGTCCTCTCTCAATTCTACCCTGATATTCAAACATCAAATAATCTCACACCAAGAATTTTTGGTTGCACTGCCTTTGTTCATGTCCATAATAAGGGAAAATTAGAYCCACGAGCAATCAKGTGTGTCTTCTTGGGATATTCCCCAACTCAAAAAGGTTATAAATGTTATCATCCAGCCACCAGAAAATTCTACACCTCCATCGATGTCACATTTGAGGAGAGACAATCCTTTT